TGCCTGGCCTTTTTTTTTTTTTAATTTTTTGAGCCCAGGTCTCACTCTGTTGATCAGGCTGGAGTACAGTGGCACGATCTTGGCTCAGTGCAGCCTCCAACTGCTAGGCTGAAATAATCCTCCCTTCTCAGCCTCCTGAGTAGCTGGGACTACAGGCATGTACCACCATGCCTGGCTAATTCTTGTTTTGAGACCGAGTCTCACTGTCACCTAGGCTGGAGTGCAGTGGCGCAGTCTCAACTCACTGCAACCTCTGCCTCCTGGGCTGAAGTGATTCTCCTGCCTGAGCCTTCCCAGTAGCGGGGACTACAGGCGTGTGCCACTATGCCCAGCTAATTTTTTGCATTTTTAGTAGAGTTGGGGCTTCACCATGTTGGCCAGGCTTTCTTGAACTCCTGACCTCAAGTGATCCACCTGCCTTAGTCTCCCAAAGTGCTGGGATTACAGGCGTGAACCACTATGCCTAATTTTTGTATTTTTGTAGAGATGGGCTCTATGTTGCACAGGCCGATCTTCAACTTCCGGGCTCAAACAGCTCACCCTCCTCGACCTCTCGAAATGCTGGGATTACAGGCATGAGCTACTGCACCCAGCCTGGTGTCTGTATTGTTGAAATTTTGCCCATGCATGGAGATGGCGGGTATTTCTGCGTGTGCACGATCTTGCTCGGCATTCCAGTCATCACTGACGGCTTTCTCTGCACTTGGAGGAAGACCTAGCTTGTTATTTCCAAATCCCCCCAGCATGGGCATCCCGTAGGTTTTTTCAGTCATTCCCCCCTTGATGGGCATTTCAGACAGTGTCGCTGTTCACGTCGTGGAGCATTGTCTGTGCAGATCTGTATGGGACAGATCCTCAGGCAGCGTGGGGAGTCAGAGTTCTCTGTGTCGCTGCCCATCCCCCTCTTCCTGGCTTCTGTGCTTCCAGGGCTTGGTGTCACCTCCCCGCTGGTGCCTCTTGGTAACACCAGCAATGGGTCTCCCAGACCTCCAGTCACGGAGGGCAATTGACTTGGGCCTGGCTCCCGGGCTCTGAAGCTTGTCACCTTGTTCACCAGAGGCCACACTGCCAAGGCCACTCCCACCCAGTGACAGAATACCCAGGGAGACGCAGGTAGGTCTTGAGGGGCTGTGGTCTTCCTGAGCTTCCCTTAGGCCACAGGGCCAGCAGCACAGGACGCTCTCAGGAGCATTCTCTCACTGGAGCAGTCCCTGAAAACTAGAGGCACATGCAGACCCCGCTTGGGGTCACTGCTGCTGGGGGCCTTGGATTGATCTTTCCCTTTGCACGTTTGCTGGCCCAGCTCCTGGTAGGCTGGGAGCAACCAGCTGGCACCCAGGGCTGTAGATGCATAGCTACTCCCACGGGCGTGGCCTTAGGGCAGACCTGTGTGGGGCTGCATGGAGGCTGGGCCCTCCTCTCCCCTGCCCTGGCCACTCCTTGCTCCCTGGCCCCCTCATTCCTGATCACAAACCTCCAGGGTCCTCTTTGGCGCCTTTCTCCTTGCTCAGCTTGCCTTCCCAGGCTGATAAGTGCGCCTTCCTGAGGACATATTCCCCTTGCCCCCCCCCAGGAAGATGCTGCCCACCCTTCAGGGCCCGGGGTTGGGACCCTTGAGGGGTGCCTATGCCTTCGAGGCAGGGCCTCCTTCCCCTGAGGCCCCAGGCATCTGGGCTGCTCTCTGCCCTGCCTCCGTCACCTGCGAAGCCATGGCCTCCTGCCTCATGGTCTTGGTCTTCCCTGGGCCCTGGGTGACTTGGATGCTTGTGAGGGTGACAGCACTGGTCAGCTGGGTACCGGCCCCAGAGATGCCCACGCACTAATTCCTGGGACCTGTGGGCCTGCTTTCATGTGGCAAGAGACATTTTGCAGATGAATTAGATTAAGGATTTTAAGATGAGCCTCCTGGCTCCAGGAGGGCAGGTCACCATTCTCCAAGAAAGGGAACCTGGGCCCCTTGGGGAAGTGGCTGATTCCAGCATGAAGGCAGGCAATGAACCAGATGAGCGTGGAGCGTCTTGGGTTGCCAGAAAGTAAGGAATTGCTCAGAAGAGGAAGGGGCTTGCTCACAGAACACAAGTGCCAACCCAAAGGAGCTCCTAATGCCAAAGGTGGGAAAGGTGGAGCCAGAAAATAATGAAAATATCAGATTATTTAGAATAAAATAAACACCTGTAAGTCTATACTGAAATCCATCCATCAATCAATAGCGAAGGAACAGCTCTTACAGCAGAATTCCAATCAATAAAGAATGTAGGAGGGAGGAAAATTGAAATCAAGCACCTAAGTATGTACAGAGATGCCATCAGCTGCAGTAACATGTAAAATGCCCACGTTTTGAATAAGTAGGATAAAGAACATGTCATCTAATCTGGGAGCCCCTGGTTAGCACATTTGTATCCAAAACTTCAATGGCATAGAATGAACGAATTCTTTCTCCCTTTTCTTTTTTGTTAACTTAAAATAATAGAGACGAGGTCTCACTGTGTTGCCCAGGCTGGTTTCAAACTCCTGGGCTCAATCAGTCCTCCCGCCTCAGCTTCCCAATATACTAAGATTACAGGTGTGAACCACCGTGCCCGGCCTCTTCTTTTTTTTTTTTTTTTTTCTTTTGAGACAGAGTCTCGCTCTGTCACCCAGGCTGGAGTGCAATGGTGCGATCTCAGCTCACTGCAACCTCTGCCTTCCGGGTTCGAGCGATTCTTCTGCGTCATCCCTATTTTTTTTTTTTAAATCCAACTATTGACAAATGTAACTGCTAGTTTGGAAGAAGGAAAAGTCAGTACATGGAACCTTTGAAACGGAATGAGTGAAAGGACTCTTGTGAGAGAATCAGATGACTCTAGAATACACCCCTCCTAATTGAATCATTTTACCATTTAAAAACTATCATTAAAGCCGTCTTTTGTAATATATCAAAGATAAAAAGCAGTTCTGTATCTTGCACAGATAGATACTATAGAGAACAAGAGTTTGTATGGAAACGACGTCAGCATCTTATCCCAGATTTCCCCAGCTCCGTCATCCACCCGCCGCCATTGCACGGAAGCACAAGCTCATCACATACTATTATGTAGCTTTCGGTGCTCTTCTCACCACCCACAGCTCTAGAGGACGTGAGAGGGGCAAAAACAAAACCATCACTGCTATGGCTGCTGGTCTCACATTCACTTTTTCTTCTAGTGAAAAAAGAAGCAAGATCTCAAACGTGGAAGTTCTTTTCTTCAGAATACTTTTATTAGTTTGCATACAGTTTGTCAACACTCAACTTTTTTCTCTCCTACTTTGACGCACAAATCCATTCAGCTAGAGCTTTCTTCTCCCCATATGTCATAGACCGTGACATGGTATGGATCTGCAGGCATCTCTGACCTTTGAAGCTTGAGGTTACTGATATTGCCTGTTGCCATGGCACCTTTAAGACTCCGCACTTTGGACATAAATCTCAGAAGCTCCACCTCGAGTTCGTGTAAGGTATTGAATGTACAGTCTTTGTTGAGGGAAGCATTTTGTTTTTTCTTTAATAGAGAGTGAAAGTGGCCGCCTCGAAGGCCAGGACTCTGCTTCTGTCAAGAAAGATACTCAAGGTCAGTAATATTGTGAACTTGGCTGGTTTTGACACAGTTCATGTTACAACAGCAGACCTGAGTAGTTGCAAGGAAGTCCATACTGCCCACAAAGCTGGAAACATTCACACCCTCCCCCGCCCTTTACAGGAACGGTTTGCCGAGCCCTGCTCTAATCAGTTTGGACACAGTATTATGAAGTGCTGGGTCTTTCTACGGGAGAACACACTTTCTCTCCCCTTCCCTTTCTACCTGAAAGAGTTGTTTGTGGTCACTCTGAGGACCAGCTCAAACTACCTTACACCTTTATCTCTTCAGTACAAGTCTCATATTTTGTTGGGATAATGATACCATTTCCATTTAGCTCAGGATTTTGTAGTAAGTCAAACACTAGCAAAAATTTAAAAACAAGGGACAGTGAATCTGGCCCTGCAAATAATTTTGACCTTCTGAAACACACCATAAGTTCTTGAATCTTTCCTACATTTGAAAAAATCCATCTAACCAGAAAATCTGTGAGCCAGTAAGCAGAGGTCATCTTCCACTCTTTGTTCCAGTATCTGTGGATCTGGGGACTATTGTCTTCACGAAGGATACATCAGGAAGTGAATTTGCCAGCTTTGCCCAGGACCATGAGTTAGGTTCATTATATATAACAGTCCCGCCTAGACTCACTAGAACATCCGTTTCCCTGAGACTCCTAAGATTGAATCAATATGGTGTAAAAAAAAAATGGAGCCATCCTTACCTTATTCTTCTCATTGTCTCTTTGATACTTCAGTATCACAAACAGCACAACAACAAACAAAAACCAGAGCCATTTGCTCCCAAGCCAGCCTTGGGCGTGCTCTGGTTGATTCTGCCGAATCCGAAAGTGCCCTCCGTACGGCACCTTCCCCTGGGGTTCGCTAGTTTTCTCTCTCCGAGAAGAGAACATAGAGGCATAGCTGCAGGTGAGGCACAGAAGCAGGACCAGGAACCATTTCAGCGTCCACATGGTGAGCAGAGATGGGGAAGGGAGATGCTCATGATGGGTTTGCTTGCCCTCGCAACTGGGAGACTGGGCACCTGGTGCCAGGCCCTTAGTGATGTCACAGAGGCCCTGAGCTGAGGCCACCCTGGCCATTGTGATGATTTCAGGACAGAGGTTAATGGGGCTCACAGGGGTCCCCCAGGAGGAGGACTCAAAGGGAGATGGGGGCCTTTCCAGCAGGCAGTGAGAGAGAGAGGATGGGCATGACGGGGTGCCAATTCCCTGCCAGGGGGCTCTTTCCAACCCTGGAGCTCTGCTGGGAGAGCCCATCATGTTTTTGTTTTTCATTTGTTTGATGCAGACATTGTGATGAGCAGAGGGAGATGCCATGTGCCCCGTGGAGCTGAATTAAATGGGAGAGAAAGGTATTAAACCACAGGCCACCTACAAACTCAAAACACCTATGTGGTTTTTTGTTTTTGGTTTTTTTGAGACGGAGTTTTGTTCTTGTTGCCCAGATGGGAGTGCAATGGCGTGATCTCAGCTCACCACAACCTCCGCCTCCCGGGTTCAAGCCATTCTCCTGCCTCAGTCTCACAAGTAGCTGGGATTACAGGCATGTGCCACCACGCTTGGCTAATTTTGTTAGTAGAGATGGGGTTTCTCCATGTTGGTCAGGCTGGTCTCAAACTTTCGACCTCAGGTGATCCACCCGTCTCGGCCTCCTAAAGTGCTGGGATTACAGGTGTGCGCCACCGCGCCTGGCCCACCTATGTGTTTTGTTTGGCCTACATTGTTTTTAAAAATTGTCAGTACTTAAATATTGGGGGGGCATTTCACTTTAAAACTCCAAATTCTGGCTTCCTTTGAAAATATGGGAGGTCCAGAAACACTGGGTCCACACCCTCATAGAACCAGTCTCTCTGCTGCAGCCAAGTGAAGCCATCCTGTCTGCGGCCATATTCCCTCCACAGTCCTCGCCACTCACTATTACCTCACACCATCATTGATCGTAGCAGTGTGTGCCCACCCTGGGTTAAGAGTCTACTTTGGGCCGGGTGTGGTGGCTCACACCTGTAATCCCAGCACCCTGGGAGGCCAAGGCAGGTGGATCACCTGAGGTCAGGAGTTCGAGAATAGCCTGGCCAACATGGTGAAACCCCATGTCTACTAAAAATACAAAAATTAGCCCAGCATGGTGGCGTATGCCTGTAGGCCCAGCTACTTGGGAAACTGAGGCAGGAGAATCGCTTGAACCTGGGAGGCAGAGATTGCAGTGAACTGAGATCGCACCACTGCACTCTAGCCCGGGCAACAGAGTGAGACTCCATCTCAGGAGGAAAAAAACAAGAGTATACTTTGATTAAAATTGTGATAAGAACAGGAAGCTTTAGAGACTAGCACGAGGGGACTGCTCTAAACTAGGTTATTCAGGAAGAATTTCCAGAAAAAGATAGTTGAGTAGAGCGGGGGAGATGATTAGGAGTTGGTGGGTAAAATGGAAAGGGGCTGAATCCCCCAAGTGAATAGGAACAGCCGGCTTGACAACTGAGGCCAAGGCTGGGAATAAACCTAGGACTCCACAGTATACCAGAACCCATGAGTTCTTTAAAATGACATGAAACAAGAAATCCTGGGTGCTGGAATGCACAGCTTGTACTTGTTCCCCTGGGTCATCTGTAGAGGTGTCTTCCTGAGGAAGGCTCTGATTCGCAGATTTACTCCTGAGGAGCAGAACTTTATGCTGCATAGGAAATAATCAAAGGTCTTGCTGGGCACCTTCGCTGTGGCTTAAAGTACTGAGCTCTGTGGAGCGACAAAGTAGTTCTGCAAGACTATGGCCAGGGCGGTGGCTCACGCCCGGAATCCCAGCACTTTGGGAGGCCAAGGCATAGATCACCTGAGGTCAAGGAGTTTGAGGCCAGCCTGACCAACATGGTGAAACCCTGTCTCCACTACAAATAAAAACAAATTAGCCAGGTGTTTTGGTGCACACCTGTAATCTCAGCTACTCGGGAGGCTGAGGCAGGAGAATCGCTTGAATCCAGGAGGCAGTGGTTGCAGTGAGCTGAGATGCCAGTGTACTCCAGCCTGGGCAACAGAGTGCAACTCTCTCTCAAGAAAAACCAAAAAATAGTTCTGCAAGACTATTCTAGAAAACCAAAAGGGGAAAATGGTGTTGGGCTGTGCTGCACAGTTTCTTCCTCCCTGAGCGTGGTACAGTGTCGGCTGGGGCTTGGGGCTTCCTGCCAGAGACTGGGCAGGGCGGAGAGATGCAAATCTCCGGGTTGATCAGAAGATGGGCACTTCTCTGCTTACAAGTGCCCACTCAGCTCGGCAGCTACTGCTTGGAATTACGCCCACTGTAGAGGCAGCTGCCCTGATGACCAGGGCCTTGGGCCACCCTGTGACCTCAGTTTGTAGGTCTGTCCTTGGCATCACGCTGCTCCCTGTCCCCAGTCTTCCCCATTCCAGCAGCTTTGAGGGATGGCTAATTATTTTCAGGGGCCCCCTGTGTCATTTTTTTAGAGATAGGGTCTTGCTATGTCACCCAGACTGGAGTGCAGTGGAATGATCTTGGCTCACTGCAGCCTCAATAATTTTTAGTTTTTGTTTTTTGGTAGAGACAGGGTCTGGATAATTTTTATTTAGTTTTTGGTAGAGACAGGGTCTCCCTGTGTTGCCCAGGCTAGTCTCAAACTCCTGGGCTCAAGCAGTCCTCCTGCCTCGGCCTCCCAGAGTGCTGGGACTGCAAGCAGGAGCCACAGCACTCAGCCAGCCTGTGTCTCAAGTCGGCTGGGAAGTTTGGTGGCTGTGGAGCAATGGAGCAGTAAGGGGCAAACAGACGTGGTTTACAGGAATGGCCCCAAACAACAGAAATGCTCGGTTGTGCCACGTGATTTTGTTATTTGGAAATGTTCACATCTTTAATGGGGAATCACTTTTTCCTATATGTATTCAAAAGTCTAGAGCACTCTCCAATAGAGCAGAACTAGTGGGAAAGCAGATCAGATCTTTGAGCCAAACTTCTGTCTGGACTGTGGGGTGGGGTGGCATTCCTTTCATTCATTTTGGCATGGCTTTCATTTCATTTGTTGGAAATGAAGTGCTGTGGTGTGGCGGGAAGTCAGGGGCCCCGAACGGAGGGACCGGCTGAAGCCACGGCAGAAGAACATAAATTGTGAAGATTTCATGGACATTTATCACTTCCCCAGTCAATACTCTTATAATTTCCTATGCCTGTCTTTAATCTCTTAATCCCATCATCTTTGTAAGCTGAGGATGTATGTCACCTCAGGACCCTGTAATGATTGCATTATCTGTACAAATCATAAAATGTGTGTTTGAACAATACGAAATCTGGGCATCCTAAAATAACAGGATAAGAGTGATTTTCAGGGAACAAGGGAGATAACCATAAGGACTGACTGCCTGCAAGGCCGAGCAGAACAGAGTCATATTTCTCTTCTTGCAAAAGTGAATAGGAGAAATATCGCTGAATTCTTTTCTTTTTTTTTTTTGAGGCAGAGTCTCGCTCTGTTGCCCAGGCTGGAGTGCGGTGGCCGGATCTCAGCTCACTGTAAGCTCCGCCTCCCGGGTTTATGCCATTCTCCTGCCTCAGCCTCCAGAGTAGCTGGGACTACCTGCCACCTCGCCCGGCTAGTTTTTTGTATTTCTTAGTAGAGACAGGGTTTCAGTGTTAGCCAGGATGGTCTCGATCTCCTGACCTCGTGATCCGCCCGTCTCGGCCTCCCAAAGTGCTGGGATTACAGGCTTGAGCCACCGTGCCTGGCCTGAATTCTTTTTCTTAGCAAGGAACAGCCCTGGGAAAAGAATGCATTCCCGGGGGAGGTCTCTAAAATGGCTGCTCTGGGAGTGTCTGTCTCATGCAGTTGTAGATAAGGGATGAAATATGCCCTGGTCTCCTGTAGTGCCCCCCGGCTTGCTAGGATTGGGAAATTCCAGCCTGGTGAAATTCTAGTCAGACCGAAATTCTAGTCAGACCAGTTGTTTGCTCTCGAACCCTGTTTCCTGTTAAGATGTTTATCAATGACAATGCGTGCACAGTGGGACATGAAACCTCATCAGCAATTCTAATTTCACCCTGGACTTGTGATCTCGCTCTGCCCCCATGTGCCTTGTGATATTTTATTGCCTTTGAAGCATATGATCTCTGTGACCCACACCCTATTCATACACTCCCCCCCACCTTTGAAAATCGCTAATAAAAACTTGCAGGTTTTGCAGCTCGGGGGCATCACGAAACCTGCTGAGGTGATGTCACCCCTGGAGACCCAGCTGTAAAATTTCTCTCTTTTGTACTCTTTATTTCTCAGATCGGCCGACATGTAGGGAAAATAGAAAAGAACCTACGTTGAAATATTGGGGGCTGGTTCCCCCGGTACTGGGGGAAATTGAATAGATGCTATTTTGGAGAATTTCAACATCTTTTCAGTTTTCTCCTCCCAGCTCCCTCCTTGGTGGAAAGCAGCTCGGGTCCTGGGGGTGGACAGGGGAGGAGGGAGAGCTAGGAGATGCTCCACTTTCCTCTTGGGCACAGCACCTGAACCCGTGGTCTCGGCGCCCTGGGTGGGAGCCTGCCGGAGCTGCCACTGATTCATTTGGTAAGGACTGAAGGGGGGGAAGGTGCGGTGTGGCCAGGCAGAACTGCAATTCACCTCGCGGCTTTGGGCCTCAGGCACCTCACCTATAAAGTGGGGGATGGCCATCTTCCCATCACACTGGGTGGCTGGGGAGTCCCAGGGGGAGAAGCCTGTCAAGGGCTTGGCGGTTCAGTGAGCCCTAAAAGCAATGCGAATGATCAGCCCTCCCCAGCCGCTGGTGTACTGAGGCCTCATGCCCAGCAGGAGCACAGACCATGGATACCTTCTTCCCTCATGCTGGCCAGAAGCCTTGAAGAGCGGTGCCTTAGCAAAATATTAAAGGCCTGGCTACAAATCTCCAAGGAAGCCCTGATCCCTCCTGCGTGGATAGTCCTGAGGGCAGCTGGAGGGAAGCCCACAGCCTGTTTATTTCAGAGAGGCCCAAAGCAGAGGACTTTGAGATGCTGAAGTTTTTGTGTTGAGGATGCTGTGACTCAGTTACCAGAAAAAACTGGACACAGTCAATAAACTCAATGCAAAATCAAACTGATTCAGGCTAACATTAAGAAAACTGAACCTGGTAAAAATAATGGTCATTAAAAGAAAAAAATGCCTCACGACGGCAGAAGCTACAATTAGTAAAATGTGACTAAAAGGATTAAGTTTTCTCAGTAAAATTAAAATAGGGAAGAAGAGATAGTGATAAAAAATAGTGTTATCCAATTGAAGAAGGAACTGATTGTTGTGAAAATAAATTAACACAACAGGCGTGGTAGCTCACGCCTGTAATACTAGCACTTTGGAAGGCCGAGGTGGGCAGAGTGCTTGAGCCCAGGAGTTTAAGACCAGCCTGGGCAACATGGCGAAACCCCATCTCTACAAAAAATAGAAAAATTAGCCGGGTGCGGTAGTGT